GGATCTCGCGGGGTAAACAAGAAAATTTGTTAGCATTGGAATTTAGAGCTTGATTGAAGGACACCCATGTTATTGAGAACTCTTCTTCAAGAGTCAAAGGCTCACCATATCAAGTGGGTCATAGCCCCTGACTTTAGTCATCATGTCTGGTTTTGATTTCCAAACAACCTTGGTTAGGGAACCTTCTTCAGGAGTCAGAGCTCACCATATCAAGTGGGTCATAGCCCCTGACAACATTGGCTAGAGGAAAATAAATCCTCTTTGCCCCTTGCTAGATGTTTGATTTATATGACCTGCATCACAAGCCCTTGAGATCCTTGAAATGGGTTAGGATGTATGCAATGGTATGATGTCATGGTATGCATGGGGTGATGTCAGTAACCCTATTATGAGTCCAAATTAAGGACTGCAAAAACCTGCAAGAAACTTAGGATACCCTGTTATGAGTCCTAATTAAAGACTACAAACACAACCTGCAAGAGGCAAATGTCAGGTAATAAGCATGCAAGTAGTTCAAGTAGGAAGGCACACAAGTCACACAAGAGAAGCCCTTAAAGTTTAGGCCAGCATGGAGTCTGGGTAGTACCCTCTTGAAGTTGGTGGGTTCAACCTGTCCTAATCAAAGTAACCGGGTTCTAAGGTTCCCAATATCACGGGATTGCTTTCATTGTTCATCGTTTCGATTTAGCCACTGAACTGGCGACCGAAATATTCCAGGAAAGCAACCCTCAATTGAGTGTAGTATCGAGTATCAACCAACCTCGGACTGCACCAAAGTCAGTTATCTCACTACCCTAAAGAGGCCAAGATGGTTCAATTAAGGTTCCTAAGGTCTGTTGATGCTTCATGACACCACATGGAGGCCCCGTACTCTCCTTGACTGAACTCAAGGGTTACCGGTACACACCAAAGTGCCACATCAACGTAGCAGACTGTTTCAACCATGTCGGTATACCCCGCACAGTTCCCTCACAGCCTTGTTGCTACTTTCTAAGAAGGTATCCCCCAGATCCGGGTTAGGATCTATAGAACTCCCAAGACAGTCCCACAATAATAAAGCAAGCAAGTCAATACAATTGAAAACACAATGATCTTAGTCCTAAGGTACACCTCACTTTATAAAGAAGTCCCCAGCAGAGTCGCCAGTTCTGTGATCGGTGGATCTGGAACTGACTGTTTAAAAGCTGGTTCGCGAAATGTCGCGGAAGCAAGAGTCGCCACCGTCTTTTATTTTCTCCAATAGGAAAGGACAAAAGCACAGAAAAATTCCTTAAAGAGATTGCTCTCGGTTCGGGAGGTAGGTTATAGAAAGGGAAGGTATTAGCACCCTTTCTATCCATGGTTATCCATGGGCTCTTAGGTACTTGCTCAATGTGTTTTCAAAATTGTTTGTTTGCTTTTCAATGTGGGTTTCAAAAATATTCTTTGAAAAGTTTCGATTCAACTCGTACGTCAGAGTGTTTGAAAAGTTTGTTTTGAAAGTTTTTTGAAAGTGTTTGGGTGTGAAAAGTATTTTGATTTGTTTTTGAAGAGAGCAAGTACCTACGAGAACCTACCTACCCTAAGGAATTTGTCTGTGTAAATGTCCTTTAAAGTAGTGCCATCCTACCATTGAGAGGTAGGTAGCACCACCGTTGGAGGTGTTCGGGTCAATTCGATTTTAGGGGCATGGTGATCACCGGAGCAATGGGAAGACACCTTAGAAGCTACCCTCATGCCAGGTTCCCGGACCATGAGGACTTACTAAGACGTCCTCTACTCGACGATCACCTTTCGAAAGGCAACAGTGAGGCGTACCCTAGGGGTGGTGTGTGAATTGTGTGTCATTTTCAGCTTATTGTTTGTCTTGTCATGTATTGGTGATCTAACGATTCGATTTTATTTTTGGGCATTCATTCTTTCATGTTATTGTTTAACAGTTAAATGTGCGGGAATTTAAAGTGCGGAAAAGATAAAAGTCCTACGCTATTACAAAGGCGAGGGTCTACAACGCCAAATTAATCCAGACCCGTTTTAAAATAAATTGCAGAAAAGAAATGTCTAATAGCTATTACACGGCTTTGGTACAAGTACATTATATTCGCAAAAGAAATAAATGAAACGCGCGAAAAAGGAAATAATCAAATGAGAGGGTGTTGAACCCTTTAAAGGAATTAAAAGAATTGAGTTATCTAAAATTAAAATTAAATGAAAAATGGTATTTTTGTGTTTTTTAGATTTAAAAGAAAAATGAAAAATTAATTAAGATTTAATGCTAAACCCTAGTTCTAATGTTTATTTAAATTTATTATGAAAAAGATTTAATTTCTAACCTAATTTAATTCTAAATTAATTTATGTACAATTTTTAATTTATGAAAATAAATAAATAATATTATTATTCTGAAATAAAAGGAAAATTAAAAAAGAAAATAAAAGTTATTAAACCTAAACTCTATTTTTTTGGATTTTTAGTTATTAAGATATTAAAATCTAACCTAAAATGCAACCCTAGTTTAATTATGAAAAAACACTAATACTATGGCAAAAAACAAGGAAAGTTAAAAGGAAAAAGTCATTAACCTAATTCTATGTTTTTGTTTTTGATTTTTATTATGAAAAAGAATTGAGATTAAAACCTAATTAAACTAAATGATTTACATGTATTTATTTAGAAAATAATCATAATAAAATAAATATCATATTTTTTATATTTTCTGATTTTTTTGATGTTTTTGTGTTTTTTGTAATTTCAAATAATATTTTTATTTAAAGTATTTTTATTTTATTTTCTATCACTTTTCAAATAAATTTCAAATAATATTTTTATTTAAATTATTATTTAGTAAAATAATTTTAAATATAATATTATTTTACTATAATATTTTACTATTATATTTAAATTATTATTTACTTTAATATTTTTTTATTTATAGTATTTTTATTTTATTTTCTATCACTTTTCAACATAATAAAGTTAATTACAATAAAAACATTTAATATCAAATAATCATCAATAATATCAAAAAAATGTGATCAAAGGTAAAAAGAAGTGCAAATTTTACCAATAAACAAGAAAAATTCAAATATCATCAAAGGCCAAATTTCATTTTAATATTTACATTGGTTTGCTACAACTTGAGAGAATTACAAAAAATGTTACAATATTCTACAAAATTCATGAAAGTCCTTAGTCCTTAGTATTATTGGGAGAAAAGATTTATGAATTATTGCACATTGTAATATGCTTATACCACCTTATAACTTTGCTACAAGTTACCTATAACAAGTGAGATTTTCCGATTTTCAGGAACTATAACAAAAAGAGGTTAGCTCCGAAATCTCTTGATCATTTTGCAATCTTTGCAGCCATTTCTCTGACCAACTTAGCAGCTACCATAGCAGTCATTCCATCAACAGTATCGCGTTGTGGGTTGAGTTCAACGACGTCTCCAGCAACAACATCACCTTGAAGATTGTGTAGGATGTTAAGAACATCGCGGAAAGAAAGACCTCCCGGTTCAATATGAGACACTCCCGGAGCAAATGCAGGATCAAGACAATCCACGTCTATCGAGATATACACCCCTTTCACACCTTCCCCTAGTTTCTGCACAAGGAAATCACCAAGGTTTAAAAAGAACATACAAATGCACAAGGTTTAAAGACAATTTTATAAACGTGTTGTATTTATTATTTCAGTCATTATTATTATTTTTAATTTGTGTGTCACAGTGTCCTTTTATATCGAGAAGGAGGCAGTATTGATGTTACAGTAGAAGGAGGAAATGTTGTAAACTCCATTTCTATACATTATGGAGTTCCCAACACATTCTTATCTATTTTCAACTGCGTTTCTCCGTTTCACAATATTTTTAGTTGTTTTGTTGAAAACAAAAGCGGTTTTGAAACTGCCGCCAAATGTTTCGATTCCTGCCGTGTTTGTGTTTGGAGATTCAATCATGGATACTGGAAATAACAACAACATGACAACACCTTCTCGCTGCAATTACCCTCCCTATGGCAAAGATTTTCAAGGAGGACTTCCAACCGGAAGATTTAGTAACGGAAAAGTTCCCTCGGATATTATAGGTAACATAAGTTTTATATTATTCTTTTTTTTTAATTACGAATCGAAGTGACGAGAGTTGAATAGTAATATAAATCTTAATATACTATTAAAGTTGATGGTTATAACACATGTTTTATTATACATTATTTCTTTAGAAAGATAAAGGTCAAACTATAGTCCAATTGAAGATATCAAAGACACATTACCCAGATAATGTTTAAAATTCGTTACCCAGATAATGCTTATAATGATATGATAAACTCAAAAGCAATCAAAAGAAATACTTAATAGTTTAATCTAAGATGTGAATTTGAATAGAGTTGTATTTGTTTTTCATTTGAAATTGTACTATCAGTTGAAGAATTAGGAATTAAAGAGTATCTGCCAGCATATTTGGACCCAAATCTGCAGCCTAGTGAACTACTCACAGGTGTAAACTTTGCATCTGGTGGTGCAGGATATGATCCTATGACTTCACAATTAGAGGTAAACATATTTTTCACCAACCCCAAAAATGTTACTATAAAAATTGGTATTTTCATTCATGAATTCTTCTTCCTTGCTCTGTTTAAGCAGGTAGCTATATCTATGTCTGGACAACTAGACTTATTCAAAGATTACATTGTGAAACTTAAAGGACTTGTTGGTGAAGATAGAACAAACTTAAAGGACTCATACAAATGTACATATACATAGTACTCCTTCGTGTCAAAAATCAATTAGGATACACAATGAAACCCATCTAGAGGGATGATTACTATATCCTTGGGGATGTCTAAGCTAACGCGGATATTTAAAATTCAACACACAATCAATACCACTAATTCAAGTCTAGAGAATGAAGATCGGGAAATAGAAACCAAACTAGAGACAGATATTCATGCAATTGTAAGGCAAAAAGATGCATTGAACACAAATCTAATCTTATTCTAATCAATTTAAAAAGTATGTCACCTCTTGACCAAAAATTGTATCGTGGTTCCAACCTTTATCACATGTCGCTTGTGAGAGTTACTCGCATACACTTCTTGCCCGTGTTTCTACAAAAACAAAAACCACATATCACCGCTACAGAACACTAAAACCACACACATATATAACCACCAAAACATTCCTGGGAGAAGCTCACCATTTTATACACAAACTCTGCCCTGATATCTTTCTCCGTTATAATCGCAGAAGCAAATCCAAGCACAACAACATGAATAGACTCATGTGTAAGTTTCACTACCTTTCCTTCTGGAAAAAAAAAAAACACAAACCCTATTAATCAATAAACTATCCTAAAAAAATTGAACTATCACAATTTGTTAATTTTTGTTAAAACAATAGACCGAAATGAAAGAATACAAGTAGCATTAACAAATGAAATTTAACAATACCTAAAAGCATATCTGGCTTGGGAGAAAAAAGCAACAGATTAAGCTTCAAATTAACACCAAAATAAGGATAAACTCCAGGAAGGATCTTGGCGCATTTGTCAAACGAGTAAACATCGTAAGCCAAAACGACGCCGTCGAAGATCTCGTCGTACCTGCAAAGAGACGCAAGAAAACCCTAACTCATTTACGTGCGTGAATTCTGTTTGGCAGTGAAGACAAAACGCAAGGGCACTGCGCGAAATATAAGTTATTGGATGACGACGGTGGGACTCTGTCGTGGATGTTTTGTAATTGTAGGCGACGGTATTTTCACCGTCGTGGTCTTTGATGATTTTTAAATAATTTTTTTCAAGTAATTAATTAGATTTTTTTCATGCGGCGGTTAATATTGATGGGTGTGAAAATTTATTTTGTTGGTAATTTATTTTATTATTATTATTATTATTATTATTATTATTAATAAAAGAGAAAAAGAAGGGGAAATGAAAGAAAAAAAGTGGGAAAGTAAAAGAATAAAAAAAAGTAGCGATTATGATTGGCTAATGTAGTTACGACAGTTCACCTAATTGTCGCGGATGTGAAAAGAGGGCGGTTTTTTGGTAACTGTCGCAATTATGTTACTCATAATGCTTGAAAATCTACGACGGTTGAGCCTAACCGTCGTGACAACTGTCGCAATTCAGGAATAAGGACGGTTTTGTGGGAACTGTCGCAATTTATGTGTCGTAAATCTCTTTTTTTCTTGTAGTGCACATTTCCAGACTCGATTCCTGTATCTAGCCAGGGCACGTCTGAAGAATTCAAAGATTCGATTCCTGTATCCAGCCAGGGCATATCTATTGACGACCATTTCCAGATTCGACTCCTGTATCCAGCCAGGGCACATCTGTGAGCCACCGATTGTAGATTCGATACCTGTATCCAGCCAGGGCATATCTGCATAAGGAGATTGAAGATCAAACACCTGTAACAAGCCAGGAAAACGTCTGCCTTTCTCAGATACATAAAGTTCTCGCTAAGGAATCTCTTGTGCGATCAACACTTCCAAATGGCATCTGTAAGCCCATTCCCGACAATGTTCTGTCACATCTCCAGATGGCATCTATAAGCCCATCTCCCTATTCACCACCTCTCCAAATGGCATCTATAAGCCCATTCCCGCCATCACATTTGCTGATACTCCAACATGCGAGTGCAAATTTCCGGGCACTCTAGTGTCCAATCTACTTTTACCTTCGAGTCGCGAAAGGCAAGATTGCCAATCTAACTCTTCAGGTTCAAGAAGATTGAACAGGGGCAACTGTTGTACCCCAAAATTTGCCCTCCCTTTCTTCAGGAAACCATCTTGGATTTTCAAGGTCCCCCTGAAACAAATCCAAGCCCTGAGTTATCCTTTTGCCCAAACAAGCCACTTACAAAAGCAAGATGATCTCACGAACTCCAGAAACAACACTTTTATCTTGAGAAAAAAATCAAAATTCTAAGTACTTAGAATGCTTCTCTAAAATAAGTGTTTTTTAGAAAAATCAGCGCTTCAGAACTTCTGGACCCATTCCAGATGAAAACGGTCAGAAGTTGCAAGCTTGGCTCAGCGTGGTCAGAAGTTGGCTCTTCAGCAGCTACATCAGTTCAATCAGAAGTTGTAAACGTGGATCAGTTGGTAAGCCTCAAACAGAACATGCCCTTTCAGCAGTTACACAAGCTCAGTCAGAATTTGCTAAAGGAATGCAAGAGAAGCAGGAAAGTCTGAAGGCTCCTTCAGAACAGGTTGAAATCAGAAGATGAAAGATCAGAAGTAAACCCAAGGAACGTACCAGAAAGCCAGAAGAATCTCCAGAGCTTACTAAGACAGCAGGAAGCCAAGGCCAGAGCATGGTTTACGCTGTTGATTCAACGCTGGTTTCCATTACCAGAATGTTGATGTTGATAGGTCTTGTCACCATTTAATGCCCATTAATGCTTCCAACCACTCCTGAGCATTTACGTGTGGCTTGGGAAACGCTTTTGCACAGATTCTGGCATGGGTCTTCATGCCACCGCCCACTTCAGAGGTCACTTCTCCCCAATCTACGCCTGCTGCTGCAACCTAGGCTGAAAGCTATCTGTATCACAACTTCCCAGGAATTTCTGTCAAAGAACAAATTCAAACTCTGTTGGCGCCTTAAATGTTCAAGGCATCCACAAGAACTTTGCCTATAAATAGAGACTCTTCACCACTGCAAAAGGGCGTTCAAAAAAAGAAACAGAAATTGCTAAGTGAGAAACAGAACTCTTAGCAACACAGCATTCTGAAACTCTGCCAAAATCTCCAGTTTTGTTTCATAACTTTGAGTTTCTCACCTTCAACTTCATCAAATATCCAGTTTTTTCTGTAAACCAAAGACACCCTCTCCAAACTTCTGACCCTACATACGTATACACCTTTACTTCCCCTTTTCAAAGAAAATCTGTCCAGCACACCACCAGAACCAAAAGCTAAACTTTCACCCACAAACTTTCCCAACAGTCAGGTAAGCACCTGCTGACCCTCATCACACTGTTAAGTATCATCAGCTGTGCATATTCAAATAAACATAATGTAAATATCATGTTGTTGTTGTTTATGTTCTGAGGATTTTCATACCTCAGAACGTTCTGAGCCAGTATAGGAATTGCCTGTGACCTTGGTGGTTCTGACCTCTGGAAATTTTTTTTGTATTTGCTGGACCTGTTCCAAATATGTTTCCTGTTTTGTGGAGTAACAATAGGATTGCAGATGTTCTGATTAGTACAGGGAAAAGCCAAATGCTGACTTTGACGTTAGCATATCTGAAGCCTGTTTTGCTGTCAATGATATCAGAACCTCTGAGAGTTATTGCCTTTTCAGCAGAATCAGAACTTCTGGTTTCTCCACTAACAAACTTCTGTCTTGCAGTGCAGGGAAATCAGAACTTCTGATTTCCCCACTAACAAGGTTCTGTTTTGCAGGTGCCATAGTCAGAAGTTCTGACTCATCCAGTTTCACTAACAGGTTGATCATCTGGCAGTGGATCTGAGTCAGAACTTCTGATGACCTCCCAGCCGCGCGCGGGCTCCCTCTCTCTCTCTCTCTATATATATCTTGTTTTTTGCTATTTTCTTTTTTGTCTATTTTTCTCGTTGAACCCCCCATGTACAAATGTGTATCCCCCTCCCCTAATTGTTGTAATAGTGTAGGATTTTACATTTCCGCTTCTTATTGATAGTAATTAGGACGTGTATGGCAAGATAAAATCAATGAAATAGAAAAACCTAATTCCAAGAAACTCTTGCATGCAATAAAACACACTTGCACACTAACACCCCTAGGGTTACATCCACTTGTTGCCTTTCAAAAAAATTGGGCCATATTGCATGTTAGGTCTCTTTGGGCAAAACAAACAATTCAAATGATCATAGTCCCTCGATGACGCTTTTTTGCCTAAAATGATCAAAGTCCCTTAAAGAAAATGCCCAAAGATACTTGGCACCATTGCAATTATGGTCTAAACGATGACACGCGCCCGTCCCGTTCACATCCTAACACAAGATTGTTCACCAAATACAATGGTGGAACAAAATTGTTAAAAGGGTTAAAAACATAACAAAAATCTTTGAGAACTTTAGAGTAGATAACCTCTTAAGTACTTGTCAACTTGCAAAACAAAAACACTTGCCTATTTTTTCAAACCACACATCACTACACTTTCAAAACAACTTTCAAAAACATTGAAAACCTTTTCAAAAGACATACACCTTTGTATACATCCCAACATGGATCATTACAAAGGTTGCCACCACATTGGCCTCTTTTCAAAATATTTTCAAAACCCACATACAAAGCATCATTTCAAAAAAATGAAAACCAAGGCAAGTTGATCTAAGCAAGTACCTAAGAGCCCATGGATAACCATGGATAGAAAGGGTGCTAATACCTTCCCTTTCTATAATCTACTCCCCGAACCCAAGAAAAATCTCAAAGGTTTTTGCTGTGCTTTTTAAACCTTTCCTTAGGATAAAATAAAAAGTCGGTGGCGACTCTTGCTCAACTGAAACATTTGCGAATACAAACGCAAAACACACAGTCGGTTCTCCCACCGTATCACACTTTGTATAAAATTTTCTTACTTTTATGACACCATCCTCTTACTAGGATGCATGTCTCCTTTGTACAAAACACTTATTCAAAGTAAATACGAAGATATCTCTTTCAAAGTACAGAAAACTATTTGCCTTTTTCTTTGCACTTGTGTTTTTATTTGCAAAAAACATCCAATGATTCAATGATGAACATATGCATTTGAACATAATTACTGTTTACAAATAAACAGGATGGAAAAGAACAATTACTGACAGACTGAAAGGATAGGAAAACGTCTTTAGGCTATTCCATGAGCGATCCCTACAGTACATCATCTAGATCCCCAGCGGAGCCAAAACCTTGAAATACAGATCCCCAACGGAGCTTTAATTTCCAACTACAGATCCCCATCAGAGTTAAAACTTCAAACTCCCAATCTCCAGCAGAGCCAAAACTTCTAACTATCAATCCCCAGTGGAATCCATCCAGTTTCTCCAAATTCCCCAGCAAGCTGTCTTGAAGTATGAAAATCAACCAGATAGCAGTAACTTTTTGTCTCTCCCCAACCTAGGATAATTCCCCAGTAGAGTGGCAGACAACCCAAAACACCTGAGCCTACTCCCCAGCAGTAAGCCTTCTTCCCCACAGAGGTTTCATTGCTACCAAACGGAATGAAGATTCTCCTTATTAATTCCTCGCAGAAGTCATCAGAGTTTCCATTGCTCCCCAATGGAATGAAGATTATCCTTATTAATTCCCCGCATAAGTCATCAGAGTTTTCCCTATTCCCCAGCAGAATAAGGTTTCCCATTGTGTAATCTCCGGTGGAATTCATCAAAATTCTCTGGATTCCCCAAGCAGATTACTCAGGCAGTATATGGCATTGTTCGCAACATATATTTTTGTCAATACTCCAACTTCAAGGCATGAAGGATCCCTATATCCCCAATAATCGCCAAAGATTTCTTATCCTCAACAATCAAGGATTTATTTTCCCCGACAACAGTCAAGGATTTATTTTCCTCAGCAATACAGCACATCAACTTACATACGCATACATTACATCCATATATCATAAACATTTGATAAGTCACATATATTGCATCATACATTTCATGCATCATAACTTTGTGTTTCAGCTAACATTTTACCCTTTTCAGGATAAGATTAACAGCTACCATTGACAATGTTCAAAGATTTCAGATACAGTACATATACGCTCCAGACAAGGGTGCCATTCTGATACTCATTCGGATCTCAACTCCAGATACACTCCAGACACAGAAGTCATTCTGTCACTTATTCAATTTCAAGTTCAGATACACTCCAAACACGGAAGTCATTCTGCCACTTATTCAAATTCAAGTTCAGATACGCACCAGACACGGTCGCCATTCTGTCGCTTATTCTGATTTTCCCCAGCTTAGATACGCTCCAGACACGGTTGCCATTCTGTCACTTATTTAAATACAGTTCAGATACGCTCCAGACACGGATGCCATCCTGATACTCATTCATATTTCTAGTTCAGATACGCTCCAGACACGGTTTCCATTCTGTCACTTATTCAGATACAGTTCAGATACGCTCCAGACACGGATGCCATCTTGATACTCATTCAGATTTCTAATTCAGATACGCTCCAGACACGGATGCCATTCTGACTTTTATTCAGATTTCAAGTTCATATTTCTAGTTCAGATATGCTCCAGACACGGATGCCATTCTGACTTTTATTCATATTTCAAGTTCAGATATAGTTTAGATACGCTCCAGACACGAATGTTATTCTATTTCTCATTAAGATTTCAAGTCTCCAGATACAGCTCAGATACGTTCCAGACGCGGACACCATTCTGATACTTATTCTTTTGACTAACAACTTACAACTCAATAAACATTCTTGGATGGCATCTACAAGCCCATCTCCAACAAGATTCTATCACCTCTCCAAAGGGCATCTTTAAGCCCATTCCATCAACTACACTTTGACGAGTGCAAATTTATGGGCACTCTAGTGTCCAATCATCTTTTACCTTCGAGTCACGAACGACAAAGCTCGCCAATCTAACTCTTCAGGTTCAAGAAGATTGAACAGGGGCATTTGTTGTACCCCAAAATTTTCCCTCTCATTTATCAAGACTTTTCTCACAAGACTTCTTGGACTCAAGACAGGATTAGGGTTTGGTCAGCTCAAGACATCTCATCTTGCACTGATACCCCAAAATTAGGGTTTGAGTTTGCACAAGGATTTTTGGACCATCAATGCTTCATGTGACTTTCATACACCATCTTGGACCCCTAAGATTGCTCATGTCAAGTTTCAAGCCTTGAATCACATTTTTGCTCAGTCAATTGGACAGTTGACCTAAAAATCAGTTGTATTGGGGAAAAAGTCAACCATGGCCAATTTACAGTCAAACTTTATAATTTTTTATCCACAACAACATTTTAGACTCATATGAACCATTTGATCAAGTTTGGATCATAACTCCTCAAGAAATTTGATCAGATCATCAAAAGGGCAAAATGGTCAAAATTAGGGTTTTGACTGAGAAAGGGCAATTTCTGATTTTTAACCAAGCCAGTGACCAATTGGGTTCAAACATGATTTCAAGGGTTCCTTAGCATCATCTTGACCTAATCACATAGTTCAAAAGATCTCAAGTTCATAGGATTGACAAATGAATTTTCCAGTCAACTGATCAAAAGTCAACTATGCACTAAAAAGTCAAACTTTGACTTTTTGGTCAAAATCAAGTGCCAAGGGTCATAATTCATCAAGATATGTAAAAA